GTAATTTTTTGAATAGTAATCAGTATTAGAGTTTGCCATGATGCATGTTTTTTTTTTAATCTTAAAAAGCAATGACAATTAATCAATTCCAAGTTGGTTTATATATATAGCATGAATGTAACTTCCGATTAAACAAAAAAAAACTTTAAATAGTTCATCTGTTGATGAGCTACAATCAATTGTTTAAAAAACAGTGTTAGTTTTGACATAAACAATTAAATATCTTGAGAACCATCAGTCGTAGAGAGTTGAGACTGCCCGAGTCGAAAAATTTCGATGGGTTGTACATTGGTTACATTGCTTTTTAGAAATACAACCAATGTAAAAATAATTTAAATTAAATTTCATTTTCAATGTTTAAGATGACATTGCTTTAACATTTTATCCTTTGCATAATTCCCTTTTCTGTAGTAACAATGTCAATTCAATGTTATCAAGGAAAAGAAAGAAGCAATCTAAAAATGATGAAAGCAAGTAATCATAATACAATAAGAAAAATAAAAATAAATTTAGAACTACATTGGTATTGACGTTGGTTATATTGCTTTTTTTTATTTTTGGTGTTCCCTTTCCGGTCACCCATCCATCTATTTACCGGCCTAAATGTTGCTTGACTTGAAAATCGCGCGTACCGTTCGATTCCCACTGTGCTACATTGATTTATAATTTTTTTTTTTATTTTCTGTTAATAAACAGTTGAATTCTATGTACAACAGTTGAAATATTGTTAGTAATAAATTACCATTGTTACGAAATATTTAATAAAAAAATAGGTCTGAGCACACTTTGTCTGTGCTAACACGACGAACTTCCCATGAGTAATTGTTTATAACAAATTTAAATAGTTGTAATCAATGTTTGTTGAAAACATCCAAATAATGTGATATACACATTACTTATTCAATAAATACAATTTTCAGTTGTTTATAACAAATTCATTTTGTTATAAACAATGCGTAATTGTTAAGAGTCATATTTGGTTGTGAACAATAATGTCTAGTCAATGTTGACTTCATTTTCAAATAAAATTGTTATTTTTCCGCTTAAAAGTATTTTAAATAGTTCATCTTTTCATTTATTCGTTAATAGTTTTTTTGTTATAAAAAAAAACGGCTTAACCGAATTTGTTCAAATTTCTTTCAGATCTTCTCTAAAATAATATCTTTCGAATAAATTTTAGTTGAAGTTGATATTTCAATCCATTCTTGAGATATCGAAAACGAAAAAAATGCTGACGTCTGTACAGACATACGTACGTACGTACACACACGCATCATTCTAAAAATTGGTCAGTATGCTTGCAAATATCATGAAACGTGGAGATATGATGAAAATTCAAATTCCACCAACCGACCCAATTTCAATAACTTCCTAATGGGAAGTTAATAAAAATGAAAACAATAATCATCCCTTAACGATGTTCTTTTTTGACATTGATTATATCACTAGAAACTATTATCAATGTAACCAATATAAACTCAAGATTCACACATGAAATGTTTTATAATTCTTCTTCTACATTGGTAACATTGCTTCATATTTTTTTAATATTAGTTATATTGCTCTAGATGATTAGTAATGTAACCAATGTCAACTCAAGATCTACATGTAAAACCTTAATAATCTTACTCTTACATTGCTAATATTGCCATATATTAATTTAACATTGCTTATACCATTTTCAATGTAAGAATGATTTTAGCAATGTAAAATAAAATTTTTTAGCAATGTATCCCATGTAAAAGTTATGTTATAACAATGTAATCAATGTAAGACCCATCGAAATTTTTTGACTCGGGTAGTTTCACTGTTTTTCTCATAAAAATCTTAAAAATTATGCGCATCATGACTTGATATCCGATGCGTTTTTTTCAAGATATTTACACTATCTTGAATAGTTGGTATTTTGCAAATATTTAATGTTGGAGAGGATTGAGTCTCGGCGGGGGGATTGTTAAAAATCTAGTCTACATTTTAAACACCTTTCACCCCCTGCCCTACCCTCAATCCTCTCCAACATCAAATATATTTAGTTACGACTAACATAATGACACAAATTAGTTTCTAAAAATAATCATTTATTCACTGGTACAAATAGTCATCAATTTCTATCGGATACATTCAGGAAATTTGTTTTATGAATGCTTCAATTCTATGTGAATATCAATAATGTCTCTTTGGAATTTTCAACGAAGCAAATTATAGAAACACACAATAACAGACAAATGTAAACAAAGAAATCGATATATTGTAAAAATTCACAAGATGATGTGATTATTGTCGGACAAAATGCTACCGTAACACAATCTAATGCATGTTAACATCTAAATTTTCAACCTTGAAAAAGTATGTAAAGGAATATTTTCCGCGTCCCATATGTATATATTGTTAAATATATGAATGTCTCCATCTATGAACTGATTGTCTAACGACAATTTGCTAGTTGACGATTAGATTATTTATAACAACGAGGGGAGAGTTTGTTTACCTCTAGTTTAGAAGTGAGACTAGCCGACTTTAGACGTTATATAATTGATTCTGTATTTGAATCTATCATTTTAATAAACTATCTTTTAATATTAGTTGTCCTTATACTTTTATTCTACAATAAATATTAAATTAATCACCATAATTTTCTTTACAACATACTAAAATTCCAAGTAAATCAGGCGTATGCCACCTAAACTAAATAATTATCACTTTATTTTCTAATAAATTATAACTGCCTATTAATAAGCGCACATGATGTATTGCTATAATATTCTCATGGACTTGAAACACTTAACTTTAAGAATTGTATTATTATTCGTCAGCAAAACGTTGAAAGCTACAGGCTAACTCAACGAGCAATTTAGTATTAAGTTGTCAGATTAAATCCCGACTCAAAAGCAGCAACATCTCTGTACTTTGATCTCTACAAATATTCAATAAATTACTCAAATAAACCCAATCTCACAGTGGTGAAAATTAATTCATTACACATTTTTAAATTCTTTTTTATAAAAACAATTCTCAAATTAAAAGGTTATTATGTAGCAGAGTATCAAGTTATGTTTCCTTCTTTCTGTGTAGTAATAAAACAACAGTCAAGTCCATCTCAAACTAAGGATGATAGATATTTTTGTTATGTCTAACAAATTTATTTACTTTTCAAACCAAATTGTAGTTACAAAGCTTAGTTACAAAACAAAGTTACAAAGAAACTTTTCTGTTGTGTAGATAGTTGTTTTAATAATATGACAAATAATCACTGTAAACTGAGTGTACGTGTCCACTTTATCAAGGGAAGCCATTAATTATTTGTCATTTTCAATGTTATCTATTCCCTTGCTATATCATCTTTAATCGTCTACCTTTATCGACACCAATTTCATTCTTCGTCTCTTAAACGTTTCCAGTGTTTTGCCTGAATTAATATATTATGTTTTAAATAATCGATACAAAGCAGTTTTGGTCTTGGTAAGTCTGCCAAATTTGGCATTTTTTGTACTTCATTGAACAAAGGACTTTTTGTAGAAAAGTAAAGTAATCAATTCTGCCAAAAAGCCTTCTATTCTTGGCATGTTTTTCAGTTTAAAAACAACTTTGTGTTTTATTTTTAAAATAAAACAAAAAAAATAAGTCAAAATAGTATCCATTAAAAAATAATTAAAATTTTCTACATTTACTTAGAAAACAGTGCCTTTTATTTTCAAAAAGAAAAAAAAAATTTAAACAATGAAGTAATAAGCCATTTACTTCTTAACAATATGTTTGAGTATGTGATCTATTTATTTCAAATGAATTCAACTAGTTTAACTCAACTAAATCCTTTTATCAATGTATGAAGATCATTTCCAGTTAGCTGAAGCTTCAGTTTAATAGTTTTAATTGAATAAAACCCCCGTAACAACTTTGTTAGTAAAAGTTCAAAATATCAAATAATAAATGAATATCATAAATTATTAAATTAAGTGTTTAGAACTTGGACTAATTTATTTCTTAAAATACCGTTTTATTTTGAGTAATAAAATTTATGTTGGGACATTACTCGACTAATGTAGGACAGTATAACGCTATTAATGATTTCCAAAACATGCAATTATTCATCAGAAATTATAGGATAGTTACATATTTTATTAAACTTTAGGCTGTGGGGAAATTTCAGTACAAATTGACCTTTTAGAATATGTAAAATGTATAGATAATATCACTGGATATCTCAGATAGAGTCGCTGACCTGACTGCTGGTCCATATACGGACCACCCTCGCAGGCAACGTAAAGTACAATGTAAAAAATTTGTCTCTATCGTTATGAAGATTTTAGGTGGTACCCATGTAGGAAAGTACGATTGGATTAGGTATGGGCCAAAGTTGGCTTGCCAGTCATGAACTCTAGGACAAAGTTGAATTACAACTTTGGGCCAGATATGGATGAACTATCAAATAATAACATCAGGCCTGGCTTGGCATACAACCTTGGCCTAACAATGAATCCCAAAGATGTACCAGAGTTGGCCTGCATCCCGAGGAGAAAATAAGTCATGAAAAATAATTTTTTTTTAATGATTTTTATTTGAGAAATAGTATTATTTAATTATACTTAATATATTAAATGTTATAACATTTCCGCGAAAAATTCAACGTTCGTACTTGAGGGGATTCGAACCTACGACCACTATTTTACGCACTAAATCCAGTGCCTTTACTCGCTCGGCATTCGACTTATTAAATATAATATGACAATTAGATATAAATCAACAAATGCACATGTAATATTTTATATTTGACTTATTTGAAATGGATTATTTGATAAAATAAAAAACATAATTCACATTGTTATGATAATTTCTCCCTTTCTTTCAAAATCAACTATTTGAATCGTATAGAAAATGAGTCCCCGGTCAATGTAAGTTGACCCATAGCTGGCCCAAGATTAATCAGCCAAAGTAATATACCCAACTTTTGTCCAGGTCTAGGGCAGAAAAAAATACCCAATCTTGGTAGATCAATTATATGCCTAACTTAATCCAACCTTGAATGAACTCCGTTTAGCCAAAGTTGGGCAACCCAGTGTTGGGCCAAAGTTCACTCGATCGTCAACTTTGGCAGTTCCTTCATGGGGTATTTCTATGTACTTCCACGCGTTGAATATGAAAAAAATAGTAACAAAACTCTCGCAGACACCCTTGACCTTGAAAATCACCATTTGAAGGTCAAATTTCATTTCTACTATAAATCAAGTTTATAGACGGTTATGTTATGAGAAATTTTAAAGCTATTTGTTATGTATTCAAAACATCAAATTTGATCTAAAAACTTCAAATATTCTATGTCTTTAAAGTGGTCCATATATAGACCACCACCGTAGCCTAAAGGTTAACTATTATGTTAGTCTAGATGTTGGAGATGTTATATTTCTAAGGGAAATACTACATCACTTTGTAGATAGAAACCTGTGATTGAATAGCTCTCTTAATATTTTTTCACTGATCTGTATATCACCATTTGATGTACGATGGTAAGCTTCGAGCAAAAATCTACACTCAGTTCAAAAAAGTATTATTCTTTCGATCAATCACCAATGGTGGATAAATAACGTATTCACCATTAGAATAACTTGAGTTGGTCCAGTTTTAGTAATCCATCATCATTAATCATTGTCATTACGTTATTGCCAATTTTTATTAATGAACACATACAGACATAATAGCTTTCAAGTAATAAAACCTGAAAGTTATTAAACTGCTCTTGAAACATGGGTACTAAATAAATTAATTATACTCACGTTTAGCTGCATGATGATTTTATTGTAGGCCCAATGCCACCGTTGTTTCGCCGTCATCTCAGGTCGTTCCTTGAGTTGAGTTGGTACCGGTTGAACGCCAACCATCTCCAACAGTTCCTCATCTGGTGGTGGTTCTGGAGGACTTCTTGGTGGTGTGTCCATCTGTACACTTTCATCCAACGATGTTTGCTTGGTGATGCTTCCTGTCAACATCAAGACTCGAATTATCATCTGACACTTTTTTGGTTTGATAACTCTAGCAGTAAAGCAAAACAGGATCATTCCTGGTCTAACACTGTGCTAGTCTAAGTCAATCACAGCTTAATGTTGGATCATCAATGTATCAATGTTGCTATCTACTAGGAAATGCAAAAATGAATCCCAATTGGAAGTTATTGTAATAAGTCCAATTGTTGGAATGGACTTTACTTGTCTTCTATGTCTTAAACACTAATAAAAATACCAATTCTGTTCTATTTTTAATCTTAATCTATCAAATGACACTATTTTCTAATGCTCTGAAATATTTATTATGTTTAGAATTTGCTGGTAAAAAACCAAATGTCTTTCCATTTGTTAGTCTATACGTTTGCTTGTGTGCTACACTATTCTTGACTGACATTGATGCATCTTATTTCTATTAAATCATCAATTATCTAAATGGAAGCCTACCGGTTTTAATAATAATTGGATGGACCATTTAATATCTATAAGCTACTTTCCATTTACTGAAATTCTTCTATTGTCTAATCAATTCCATTCGATGATCGTTTTATTTTCGACTTGAAATACAATGCCTAAACTTTAGAGCTACTATTTAATCATATAAATTAGTACTTCATTAATCATTGATTATTCTTATTATTATTAATTGATTTTATCAAACTGCACGCGTTCATCAGAAGGTATTTTTAATCACATATGGGCTCTATAATTCTAGAAATATTTTAATTTTTCATCTTTCTTGTAGTTGGAAAATATAATAAAATGTACCTCGAGGACTAGCAGATCTGGATAGTGGAGGTGATGTTTTATAAGGCTCTACAAGAGAATTTTCTCTTGAAGCTCGAGTCAAAGCTTCCTCACCTCTCTCATACCTACAAAAAAATTTCAAATAAAATTAATTGGTTAATTATTAAACATAATTCAAAAAGATTAAAAATTTTTTTTTTGCTTTGAGTTTTAATTAAAACATCAAGCAATTTAATAATTAACAACTTTTCCATAAATTTCTGTACATTAACAGTAACATTTTAATACTAAATATTAAATTATAATAATCTAGAAACTTTTTAATGGATTTCAAGCTTTCATCGTAACATTTTATCACTAACTACTTGATAAAAATGACCTGAAAACTTTTTACAAAACTTTTACAAAAGTTTCTAGACTTTTATTGTAACTCTTTCATGTTAAATTTTAAACTAAAAATATCACACAGTTCAAAAAAAGAATTACTTTTTTAAAAAAATAATGTAAATACCTTTCAAGAGTTTCATCGCTCATTTTATATTCTCCATTGATAGCATTACTGAGCACGATTTCAGTTTCATCAATTGATTCTTGATCCTTAAAATATCCTCTTTGATAGCTCTCTGCCCTGGAGATCGGTTGGGGAGCAGTAAAATTCTGCCCATATCCACCAGAAGAACGTGAGAATTCTCTCTGTTGATAAGAATCAGCTCTACTCAAGGAAGGTTTAAAGCTATCTTGAGTTTCTGACCCATAAGAGTCCTGTCTCTGAACAAAGGATTCTCTTCTACCGGGCACTTCATCATCGAAGTGATCCGAAACATAGGAATCACCTCTGCTAAGTTTAGGTTTCTGATTAGATCTTTGACTAGCTTGGCTTTGATGCGAAAGCTGAGAATCCTTTCTCTGAACTTCTTGTGGCAAAATTTCAGGATATTCTTCATCATCAACAACCTCTTCGACATAAGATTCAGACCTGGCGAGAGGTCTTTTACCATTAACAACAGTGGTAGAATGAACAACAGCAGTAGTGGTAATACTAGACCCCTGGATAACATCATCAGTAGTAGAGTCAACACTAGTAGCAGTGATAGGGCTAGGTTCTTCAACAGAATACTGATCAAAGGCCTTGGAAACCTGATTACTAGCAATTGAGCTGACGGCAGTATCAAATGAGTCCTTGAGTTCATCATCTTTAGACTCAAGAGAGTCAGTATGTTGCTGAAGAAGAGGACTTATGTCTCTTTTATCAGCTTTTTTACGTACAGATGGTGCTATTAAATCGTCTTCTGCACTTGGATAATAATATTCAGACTCAGATTGGTATCCATTAGTGGTAGTTTTACCCTTTGGAGTACTTACAGTCAACTCTGGAACCTCCTGGATAGAATTAACATAAGGTTCCTGGTAATTAGAACCGTAATTATTGTCTAAAGCTGTAGAAACTGCTGTGTAATCATAGTTATCATATTGGACTGTGTTATTATACTGTACTGTGTTATCATATTGAACTGTATCATCATACTGTGCTGAATTATCGTACTGAACTGAATCATTATACTGAACTGTGTTATTATATTTGACTGTGCTATCATATTGGACTGTGGTATTATTGTCTTCCTTGTAAGATTCTTGATGATAGCTGTCATCCTTGTATGATTGATCATCATAGGGCTGATAATTGTCTTCGATTATTTTTGACCCTTCATACTCTACTCCTTTAGTCACTTCTGGATATGTATTTTCTTGATAAGAATACGTATTTTCTGGATATACTGATTGACTTACTACTGGATAAGCATCTTGATAACTTTCATTCGTATAATAGTCCACTGTTTTTGATGTATAATTAGTTGAATATTGATCCTGAGTCGCATAATTTGATACATATTGATTATCTTGACTGCTACCATTGTAATAATTGCTATAAGAGTCTGTTGTCTCTTTTTGATTTTTGTAATAATTGTTGTAAGGTTCAGCTGATTCCTTTTGACTTCCGTATACATTTTCGTCAAGGTAACCATCGTGTGGTAAATTATCCTGACTACTACGGTATGCGTAATTATAGTCTTCATTGTAATCCTGCTTGTAATAACTCTCCTCTGTTGGAGTTTGTGTGCGTGGCAGTTGACGTCCTGGCGTTGCTGGAAGAGATACTGGTTTGCGATTTAGGATTACGTTACTTGGCTTTGTTGGAGTCGGTGGTAATTTCTTTCCTGTTCCTTCTTGACGAGACAGTCGTTGATTCTTCCGTCTCCGCGATGTCCCACTGCAAATAGTTATTTTATATTAATGGTTTTGAATGTCTGATTGAAATTATGGTAATAAGTTTAAAAAAATTATTCATAGAACAATGATTGAAAAAATTCCTAAGTTAGACATTATCGATTATGGATTTGTGTTAAAAAAAAAGTTGTCAGTAATTATACCCTAACAAATTAAATTGACGTCGGGTAGTTAATAATTTATGCTGTAACAGAACATTTAATGGGCGTTGATATTACGATCGATTGTGGAATAATCGTGATATCAAAGTCTATTAAGTGTCATATTGCAGTATAAATTTCAAAAAATTCGACGTCAATTATCCGTTTTTACAGTCGATTAGTTCCACTAAGGTAAACAAAACAAGAAGAGAATTTATTAACTAAAAGATAATATAGAGGGGGTATTTATTTTAGGCTATTATGTCGTTATCTTTAAATGCACTGACTGAACAGAATTGACACATTTATTCTAAACATCTAGCTTGTCCCTATTCTATTGTCTTGATCTTAATGACCATTGTATTACGGGCTATTTATTCTTCTATTATTGTAAAATATTCTAATATTTTAAATGAATTTTGGAGCTCAATTATAAATAAAGTTATCTGTTTTATACCATTTTCAAATTTCATACATTCTTATTGTTATTTAACATTTTTAACGTAATTCCAGTGAAGTGTTTTGGTTTTTAAAACTAACGATACCATGTGGTAGTTGATGACGCCACCGCTAGGATCGTTGTTAGCGTTACGAGATGTCGCTGATACCTCAACGCGCTTAATTTTGATTTTTCAAATTACTTTACTTTATTTTCGTGAAAAACGATAAGTATTCTTCAAAATTTTTAACTACGTATCAATAGAACTCTAAGATTTTTAGTAAAAAATATATGAATATAGACGAAATTTAATTATCTTCATCTAAAATTTGTGTCTAATATGAATATTCTAATAAATATTTCATTTTTTGGTAATGTCATCTTAAAAATGTTTTAAAATAGACTTAATCAATAAATAAAAATATGTATTACTGTCTACCTGTAATCAAGCTCTTCAGATTCATAACTACGTTGCCTAGTAACAGTTGGCCGGTAATTAGGTCGATGAATACCGATACTTGATGCAGGTCTTTGGGGTAAAGTCTTACGATTTCTCTTATTCTCATAATATGTACTTGATCCTAAGTACCATTTTCCTCCACTGTCCCACTGACGATCTTCATCATCTTGTCCATACCTGAAATCAATTTTTTGTCATTTCTTGTTTTCTCATTTTAAATAAAACTTCGTTTATTGACCATTTTTTATTGATTTCCTAAAATTTCAATATCTGTTAAGCTTTTATATTCGTAATGAACCAATCATCATTAAAAATTCTTTTATGAGCCAATAAATATTTATCTCTTTTTTTATGAATACAATATATATGAATAATTAATAAAGATATGATTGAAGATAAATAACTATCGGAATTCAAATAATAATTACCTTTCATCGTGATACATATATCCGGTATTGTAATAATCATTATGAATAATATCTGTTTGACACTCTGGATAAACCGCATTCATTTTCTTTATCCGTAGATCGTTATTAAAATCAGAGTTATAATGATGCTCATCATACAAAGTTGTTTGCCTTTCTAGCGAAGGTTTTCTATGTGGCCCCAAGTCTAGAAAAAATAATATACATTTATTAAATGGCGTTAAATATGAAGTATTCATTCAATCTAACCCAAGTCAAAATATAACACCTAAATTTATTCTTCTCATACGATTCCCTTCCTCTCTATCTTAGATTCAACTTTTTTATCCTAATATTATTCTATTTCATTTTTTGAGTAGATAACAATTAGGATGATAAAGCCTAATTTTAGCCTTCTAACCCTAATACTTTTTCATCCTTCTGAAATAGGTAAAAATTAGGATATAGACAGAATAGCCTGATTTCAACCTCATAAATTGATCTGCTTATATCTAGAAGTATTTATGGATATAGTTGGAATAAGCTTACGATTCATATAATGGATTAATTTTCCAAAAATTATGTTTATTAAAAATTGAATTATTTTAAATGATTTGTTACAACCTAATAATGAATTAAACGAAACTGCTCTTTTAAATATGAACATGGTCAATATTATAATAACTCCTATTACAGTCATACTTTTTTTAATATCACATATGATGTTAATGCTGATGGACAGCCCAATTAGAATTGAAAGAAAATAAATAATTATGAATAATAATGTTTTTATTAAAATAAAATTACTCGAATCTCAAAAAAAAATTAGATTGAAACCAGGCAAAGTATGAAATAAAAGTAGGATTAAGCTAAGGTAAAAGAAAAATAGAATTAGGATGAAGATAGGATAAAATTAGCATGAGTTTAGGATAGAATTGAACAATTTTCGTCCTACGGAAACACTGATTTGTTGCGTATTCCGACTTTAATTAGGATTTGTTCGTCTTTAGGTAAACCTTGAGAAAGGATAGTCTTAGGATAAAAATAGGATGAAAATAGGTGTTATATTTTGACTCGGGAAAAATTAGACTTGATTTTAATTAATTTTTATTTATAATTAAACAGATAATTTATCACTATCATCTAACAATTAAGTGAAAACGTTTGCTAGATAAATTGAATAAAAAATACTCTCTAAAAGTGAATTGATGAAAATTTCATTGGTTTATTCAAAGGATTACAATTTTTTTGGAGAAATATGTAGGCTCAATTAGATTTAGGAGTAAAAGGGTCAAAATTTAGACATATCCTATTCAATCCGACTAATCTTAGACAAATCTAGAATCTAGCAACTAAATCCGGGTAAGATAGCCATAGTCATCACTTTAGAGAGCTATGTGTAAAATTATGCTATACACAGAATTCATGACACCCTTCAGCAATGATTTAGAGATCCTACTGCTGATTTAGGGTGAGATGGCCACAATAGTCTAATATAACATATACCGTCTTTCAAACATTTTTAGCATGTTGAAACGTATAAGTGAATGTTTTGATTAAAATATAACACATTTTTTCATCATCGAATTGTATCTTTTTTAAAAAAAAATCAATTATTGGGTTCAATAAGCAAAAAATCACTGAAAGTGATTCAATATACACTAATTTATATCCAGAGAATAACTGTTTTCTTTCATTATTATTGTAATTAAAAAATACTTGTACCTCTTCGTTTCAAGCCAGTTGTACTTGGATAATACTCCGTATCACTGTATATTCTTGTGTCATCAATTCTACTACTAGGATAATCGTACCCCTCACTGTACCATCCATCTTGACTGCAATGAGACAATAGTCGATTAATTAACACATTCAAACGCTTTAATTAAATAGCGTGAGATTATATAATTAAAAAAAAAAAAGAAGAAAAATATATTGAATTAAAACTAATGATATCTACATTTAATGAATATTATAGATATAATATTAGTTTAAATAATCAATTTTTTTTTTGTGAAACATTGTTTAATTTATGAACGCTAATTGATATACAAATGATTTATGATTAACATGATATGTTTTGGTCTAACAAACATTAGCACTAATAATTAAATGAATAAATGATGTTAACAATTTATAGGGTATATATTATTTTATGTATATACATCCTTCACATGATATTATAATTAGTGATTGATTTATTGCATGTATGTATACATTGAGAGCATAAATTTTGGGTGTAGCGAGAAGATTGTGTGCTATTTTAGAACAACTGACGCGCCATTAATTTATGAAGTATAATAAAAAGCACATGATGGTAAATTAGAAAATTATATTTTATCAAAAATGCCTGATTCAGCCTATTTAGTGATCAATTCTGTGTTAATTAAGAATTCTTGTTAACAGTGATAATGAAGTTGAAAGAAATAATAATAAAATGAAAGCTTTCAATTGAAGTGAAATGAATAAATGTTTCTTTGAATTGACCACTCATTCGTACCTGTCCTCATAATCCCATGTGTGTTTCCGTCGTCTGTTTAACAATAGAAGAAAAAAAAAACACAGAAATAATACGGATAAATAATTAATAAAGAAAATTTGAAATTAGTTTATTTTATTTTAGTGTTTCATTTGTTTGTTCAAAATCCGAATGCATGTTGTGTTACAGATTTTATTTAAAAATATTGGTTTACTTTAAAAATAGACTTTAAAAGAGTATTTTTGATTTTATTAAAGAGCTTATGTTATTAATGAAGTAACACATGTATTGGAAGTGTGCTGTAAAGAATATTTATTATTAAAATATTGAGATTAGTTGTAGTTAAGGTGAGTTAAAGCTGGGATTCCCAGCCTGGATCCTTCGTAAAAAACCTGAAATCAAAAAATCTCTAGACCTCGATTGTAGAGACCTCTGGCGGCATAGAATTCTTCATTTATTTTTTTCGTGTAAAAAATATTTATAGGTATTCAGAAAAATGGTATACACAGTAGAGAACAAAAAATAATAGTGTAAGTCCAGTAATAATTGCATAATAAATGATTTTTGTAAAAGGCTCATGACATGTACACCCGCCATGACACCTCAGAATTCACTAAAAAATCACTTTTTATGCAATTGTTACTTCATTTATATTATTAATTTTTATTCTTTACTGCAGTGAGAACATGTGTATACCATTTTTTTTACTATTTATAAACATTTTTTACACGAAAAAAACAAATAAATAATGCACAGTTTGTTGACAAAAAATTGAGGTGATTTGAGGTTACAAGAGCCCAGCCTTAATACTTTCACACAATTTCGTATAATAAGGCTAAAAAAAAAGAACACGAACATAATATTAACACAAAATCATCTCTACATCACTTTTTTTTTGCCTTATTCTCGGTGTACAAGATTGTGAGAAAGTCTTTGGAGTAGCAAAATAGTATATTGGATAACGAGGGAAATAAATATCCTTTTACCCACGTAAGCGTCTACTTACTGCACATGTATTAGTGGATGCGTTTAGCCACTCGTGAATGGTCGATTATTTACGACCCTAACCCTTCACCATGCTTTATACGGCACTTGTCTGATTACTTACTACCAGAGAAAACACACGTGTATAGAAGTTCAATGCGGTGTTCTGTTTATCAGATTACCCCAATCGTGCTAAACTCCTACTTGGCTCCATAAGAATACATACTAAATTTTCCGGCCACATCGATTCATTTGAAATAAACTTCTATTCACGTCTTTCTTCTTAGATACTACTAACCATAAACATGTAAAAAGAAAACACGACTAAGTATTGTACTACTCCATTACCTTCGATTAAAAAGTACTAAAATATATTTCGCGTCTAACATGTGAATGAATCATTCATGTTTATATTCATTTTTATAAAAATAACTTTCAAAGTATCTAGGCTGAGAAACCTGCTTCAAATAGAGTAACAAGAACTCTTGAATAGCAAGGAAACTAATTTTCCTCTCTTACAACTGGTCATTTTTGACATTAACCCTTCAGGCCTTACGATAATCCGACTGTAAAGAATATTATCGCAATGAGCAAATTGCTCACGGGTTGTGCGCATAGGCAAGGCGCGAATTTTTAATTGAAAATAAATTATTTAATACAATTACTTCTAAAAGTAAACTATCAAAACAAATATTATCTTCTATAATCTTAAAATAACTTACTTTATAAATTAAACAATAATAAAAAATGCTGCCTTACAAATTAATACATTGAAGCGCCTAAGACAATTGTCAAAAATGGCCGGCGCTGCTCATGACACTCGGCAATACTCGTCGCAAGCCGAACTTAGTCGAACGCATAGTTTTTCTAGCATATTTTACTTACGTGATGAGAAAAATGCTCACACAATTTGAAATTAGTTAATTTTTTATCAAGGGAGTAAAATATAGTATTTCTTCTATGAGAAAAATTTTGTCCTGAGCCGAAATATGTTTTTTTCCCATGATGTGAATACATCTTTTTGTCATATTGTCACGAAAATTTCGATTTTATTCTTAGTTTAGAGGTTAGTAAAGCGAGACGTTCTGCCTTACAGAGAAGAATAACATGCGTGTAGGCATGCGCACAATCAAATTTTGTTATTTTATGCAAAGAAGAAATGTCGAACTTTACTGCCTTTAAAAAGGGAGTAAAATTGAAATTTACGTGGGAGTATGACAACAAATAATTTTGTTTTCCTAATTTAAAATGCTTCAATGAAACTTCCTGGAGTGTTATATAGAAGATAATTAGCTATTCTGAATCTAAACGAAAATTCACACCATCATTCTATATAAAAAAATTAAAAAAAAAAATAAATAATCAGGCGTGAGCAAAATGCTCATAGCGTAAGGTCTGAAGGGTTAAACTACTCTTAGTCATCTATGGCCCAATGTTGGCTAAGAAATGATCAGTCGAACGGTCCTGCTAGGGTATAGGAGTAAGGAGAAAAGGATAACATAGTAATCCAGCAGTTTTTATATTTTTGTGACTTATTCCATGCTTTTTCATTTTTACTGTATTCATTAATTAATATTAGCTCAACATCACCTCATTAGCAGAGCTTTCTTTAATTTCCAATAAACATCTAGATCATCATACCTGTATTCCTTGTAACCTCGGGGACGACTGTTATAAGAAAGTGGTTCGGAAGATTCAGCATTCTGTTGACTGTACCTTTGGGGTATACTTTCACCAGGATATGGTTCATCATAACGAGGACTATGTCCTCTGCTTCCATAATTTGCATAATTACCCGCCGTCAATCTTCCACCACCAGAGATTTGCTGCAATAAATAAGTCATTAAATGATGTACTTATTTTAAATTAATTTCATTAATTTTTAAATTAACTTTAGCAAAAGCTCATAGCTATAAAGTACATCAGCTTTTGGACTTTGGAGCTCTTTTTTGTACAGCCACTCTTTTATGCTGTATTTTTATTTAAAATAACTACTAAGAAATTTAATAATCCTGCTGCCAGTGTACGCATACTAATGGATTCAATTAAGTTTTATTTAAATGTTTTCGCGTATTTTTACTTTGAGATTTTTAATTAAAAAATACAATAGAAAGTTGAATTAAAGAAAAATTAAATGAGGAAATATTTGGAATTGTTTAACTTCTTGATTTTCTTTTTTTTTTTTTTTTTGATGAAAAATAATTGGACTGTGAGAATCATTTATTATTCTACACGTCGTAGAGACTTGAACGCGACAATGAATTGTTAAAAGTTAAAGGTCAAAATCAAAATGAGATAAACGAACAATTACCATTAAGTTTAGATTTTATAGAAGATAGTTATCCTGCTCTAGCACTTTTCGTGTAATTTCTTTTAACCACATTATTTTTATGAAGCAAAAAAAAAATTGGAAGAAATTAGATTTCTTTTTTTAGAAATGAGGAGAAAAAAAAATTTGACATTCAGAAATGGAGATGTTTGCAATTAAACTTTTACGATTTAAACTGTAAAAACCTATGGTGAATGTTAAATTTAATAGTTTTCCAATGAATACTCCAAAATAAAATTCATGGTTTTTTGAAAAAACAATTCTGGTGATTGATGAATATATTAAGAATACTTGAACACAATTTATGCTTGATTCCGACATTAACTTTTTGTAGAAAACAATTCTAAATTTCATAACTCAGGAATACTTCGAACTTTGAATAGTAAATTTTCACTACAAACTGATAAATCTTTATAATAAAATAATAAGTCACATCATCATTGCTATGTTTTACTTAAAGATACATAAAAGTTTCAATGTTCTTTTGGATAACCCAGTACTATCTCTTATTCTTCCTGCTCATTCCACAAACTTGTCTAGAAAGACTACAGTCATTATTTTATTTATTGCCTACAAGGTACAAAGTCTGATAACAAGGATCCATTTAAACTTACACATTCAATAAGATTGAAATACAAGTAATCTATTTCTGTATTTCAAAATACTATTCAACAATTGAAAGAGAGATTTACATTCTGCAAGAAAAGTATTAGCTAAGCTAGTCATTTAGCTCGGGCTCGATTATTCTAGAGAAGAGAAAATCTATTCAATGAACACTAAAATCATGTATTGGTAAATAATAGATTTTAGAAGGGTTTACAAGAAAGCTTGAGACAGAAAACATCTAACTTCTCTACATAAACTACAGTAACTGCTTCTGCACAAATTGAATTGAAAATTCTAAATAAGACTAAGCTGAGCTGTTGGTCGATAAATAAATGAACAAAAAGGAATAAGACTCTGGTAAGAAGTAAGATTGGCACATTATTAGTTTGAAATTGGACCAACATTGGAAAGCTTGGACTAGAAATGAGTATCTCTTAGTTGTTTTTTTTAATTTAAGCTTGGTCTAGACCTCCATGAAATGTCTGTGCAACTTTGTGTGATTGTAATTATAATTTTAAACTTTAAGTGTAGCATATGATACTTTTCCTGTATCTATGATGATACATTCAACCCTTCCTTTAGGGTTCTGAAAGGATTTTTCCATCATCACCCATCTAGGGTGCTCTTGGCTCAGTGTTAGCACCCAGTCATGTTTCAAGACTTAGGCTATCATCAATGTGGGAACTAATTCTCGTTTAGTCATGGGATAAAACTAGGTAATAACACTGGATTAACAATCTTATGTATAAACAGTAGTTAGGTTCTTAAGAAATTAGGAATAATCAGCCTAGGAGTTGAATTTATTCTAAGGAAGAGTGTTTGGTATCAAAGTCTAAAGACTCATTCATTAAACCTTTGAAGCAAGTCAATTCTCGATCCTTAAGACCCTAATGAGAAGCAAAAATGACCTATTCCTAGACCAATATTAGGGTGCTTCAATCAACCTTGATCTAGCATTAAACCAGGATTCAGTGATATTTGAATATTTACTGTGTTACTCAAAAAGCCTTCCTTGGTCTTCAAAAAGATTTAATATTCAAGACTAGTTAAGTGCATTTTTAACCGTTTCATTATAGTATTAGAACAACATGCTGCTCAGGTATACGCTTTGTCTCTGAAACCATGACTGAATACTGTGCTCTACATTAAGGTAGTTGTGAAATATTATGATACCAAAAGTTTTTATAGGAAGACCATAACAAATTATGTACAAAAATTGATGGAGTTAGAAGAAACTTTTGTCCATGTACAGTTCTTCTGTTCTCACATGCATACAAATCATTCTATCATTAATTGATACCCACACATCGAAACAGTTTTGCGGAAGATCGTGGCAACGTTGGGCTTTACGTATTATATGTATATGACACACACTATAATTTTGAAATATAAAGAAATCTTCTAATTGACTATCTCAAATTTCCCTAACACTTCGCGCGCTTCTTGCCTTAGCTGTATTGCCATATCATTCAGTCTTCTTCGCTATAACCAAGAAATGTCAATATTTTTTAAGTTTTAGCGAGAATATCTTTTAAACGATATTGTAATTTAGTTTGAATTTGTCATAAATTATTATTATACATATTTACGTACTGTGTTAGTTTTTTGAACGATTTGCTCGGGTCATTTGAATTTAATTAAAGTGGATTGGAGCACAAAAGTGGTTCCTAGTATATCGTACATGTTAAAACTATTCACTTTGAATTAATGTTTTTTATATTTTTGTGTTGTAAATAATTGGCTATTTACAGCTAATGGTTCAGAGGATCATTTTGCAAAATTTGAAATAAATCAGGCGAGAAAATTTTTTCACGACAACTACCTTCATCTCGTGATTTAAAGTTTATTTTCATTGAGTCGAATTTAAACATGAATGATTTTGGTGAGCGCAGTATTGATTACTACTTGAAACAGCAACTGTAAAAGTTCTGTACAGTAATCAGTACTATGCTCACCAAAAATTACCCATGTTTAGATTCATTTTTATGAAAATAATTCTTACATTGAGAAGTTATTGTGTAGCACAGTACTGAGTCATCCTTTCTTTAAAAAAAATAAATACTCTAGAAGTGAGAGTATGTGTCCACTTTATTGAGCCATTAAGGATTTGTGAATTTCATCATTAACCACTCCTTTTCTATGTCATCTTTGATTATCTAGCTTCGTTGGATTGACACAAAGAAAAATTTTGTGTTAACAAAAAATCTACTTCAAGTTTTTGTGTCACAGCTCTGTAGTAATTTAACATTTACTCTTCATGTAAACAAAAAATAGAGATGTTGACACAAATTTTTTTAATTAAATCAAAAAATTAAAAGGAGTTTTAGCATCAAAGATGAGTGATCATTGGTGAAACGAAAACAACAATCTGAATTCTAAAGTTACTTATATGTTTATTGCTGCCTGAATTGTCATAAATGATGACAGATGAAGAAGTTTAGTTAAATCTATCTTAAGATACCTACCCTGGATCTTACAGAAATATTATCTTTAAACACAACGAATTTCTTTGGATTTGTTCAGGACAAATAGTCCTGCATTATTGCGAAAAATACTTTCTCTGTGTAGGTCAAGACAGTTGTTTAAAAATGATTTAATTAGACAGTAAAAAAAGCATTGCTAAATAATAATTATTTAATTAATTAAAAATTCCTAGTGACTTGAAACCAGAACAAGTATTTGAGGTTTGTAACAATGGAAAATATCAATAATTACTTGATCATCTCTCTCATAACTATTTTCTCTTGAGGTCTCTAATGACCGTTGGGGGGTTGCCAGTTGATTAGCAGCTGTTCTGAACTGTGAAGCTGAGCTGTTGGCACCTTGTCCTCCCACGGGATAATTCAAGTCTGAAGTGTAGTCTGAATCTTCCGAATAACCCGCTGCAATGAGAATTTTCGTAAATGAACGTAACTTAACTATTGTAGTAATAGAGAAAGAGATATAAAATGGAAAATAGAGGATGAGGAAGAGAGAAATTTTGAACAATCAAGCATACTCACAGTGGCCTATATTGTAGAGTGTTTGTCTCCTTGCTTGTTCTGCTCGTGTCTCTTGGTCCATTGTACTGTTCAACATCTCGAGTTTCCTTTGCAAATCTGCTGCTGCTGTATTCTCTGGATCTTCAATAAAAAAAAATTCAAAGTTATTCATTTGTGAAAGTTACATTACTTAAGATTGAGATGAATACTTTTATTCATTTTTTGTTTGAAAACATAAAATTCTAAAAGATAAAAGATGTATTTTGATAATGACTTTTTAGTTTTTTAAATGATTTCATATATTTGAGTGGAAAGTTCTAATTAACGTGCATTAATGTGCACATAATACTTCTAGATATCTAATTTATATTTTTATTATGCACTGATAGGAGTATTAATTTTATTTATTTTTTTTCAAGTAATTTTTTAAATCAGTTTGTAATGTTGTTTGACATTCATTCGTAGTAGGGCGGTTTTTTCACTAGGGTGATAAGTACATGATTACCTATGTAATTTTTTATCACTAGTGCAGTAATTAATGACATTTGTAAATAATGTTCAGGTTTTTGAAGCACGATCCGTATTTATTGCTTTTGGAATCGATAATGTATGGCTCATAAATTATAGAAAAAAAATCACCAATTTGTTTATGAGTCTCTGGTGGCCGACTAACGGACGAAATTTTGGCAAAGAAAGAATTTTTAGAAACAAGTTTCCCTAAAACTTTCGAAGAAAAATTTTGTATTGCAATAAAATAAAGTGACTTACATGTATTTTTAGGCTAAGTAAACTGGTCTTAAAAATTTGTGTATGATTAAGTGTATTTTATCACCAAAAATTTAATACAGTCGTGAAATTATGAGTACTTTTCGCTACGATTTTGAGTATTCAAAAGTAAACTTTCCATGCAGGTGCTGCGGAACAAATGTTTTTATCCTCATTTTTCATTAAGTTCACTTTTCTGTGTGGAATACGTAGAGTTTTTTTCACGGACATAGCGAAAAATAATATTTACTCACTAGTAAAGTAATTAGATCATTTTAAATTATGTGTTGAAAAGAAATTTTGTTCAGATATTGAGAAGCCCTACTTTTCTTGTGTACTTATAGTGCAGAAATGAATACATTATCAACCTAGAGAGGTAATGTAGACTTTTTTAAACTACTCATAAATAATAATTTTAGAAATCAGTCAATATCGTTTCCATTATAAAATTAATATTTTTAAAATATCTCCTTACGAACAAATAAGTGTTTTTTGATGACAAATATTGATTTAATCTCATTCTTTTCTTTAGTAAGAAAATAAATAACTTATTAATCTTAAAAAATCTCTTTCGCTTTAAATAAATCCTTCTATCAGTGCACAATAATCTAATAATCAAAGTTGAGTTTGTATTAAAAAATATTTTTCTTTGATTTTAACTGATCCAAATGATGATATCAACATCACTTTGATCAGTATTTCTTATAAGAAATCTTGGTCTCAATTAAATTCTCATAAATTTTAAATTCGTTCTCAATAAAAATTTCGCTCATCTCGTAGTTTCCACATTACTCGTGTTTTATCTACTTCTCTGCAAAAAATCTCACCATTAAAACTTGAAGGATTGCATTAATGTGATAAATGCATTTGACGTTATTAAAACTCTCAGAAAATGTTTAAAGTTGAAAATATTCCATGGAAGGTGAAGATAAAAAGCGATAGAACATCGATAACGCCTTAGAGTAAAATATTCCCTCAGGGGTTCGACTGCATTAAGGTTTAAAGCTGTGGCCTGGAAGGCAAAAAAAATAATTGCACTCGTTGGAATAATAGAGAAACGATGAAGAAATGCAATCTGGAAATATATTTTTATAATAATAAAAATAAAAATGTTGAAATGTTACCACGAAACTAAACTACATCATTAAATGGGAGAGAATAATAATAATAATGAAATATGCATTGAATTATACAACAAAAATAGATAAATAAACTAGACAAAAAATATTTTTTAATAAATCAAAATTCTCAAAAATTATTCTCATAAAAACAAAAGTATTAAAATTGAAAAGATTTTTACTAAACAACAAAACATGTGAATAAAATATTGAATTTTATGTAACACAATTGTTGACATTTTTTTTTTTCAGCAAAATACTTTTTTTTTATTTCTTCACAAGGCTTACACTTAAAAATAACTAAACTGAACATGTGCACTCTCGAACACGTAGGATATGAGTTTCTAAAAGTCGTCTTTGCAATGTCGAGAGTTTTGTGGCCATTACAACGACTACTTTTAACTCATCCAATACTTGTGAAGATGAAAAGTAAAAATAATTATTGCGATGAAGATAATTTAAAATAACAATTATTGGTCTAGTTAACAATTATATTAATTATATTAAGTTTCTAATTAAACACAGAATTCTGAATAGCAGACTGGAAAAAAAGGTTTTTTACTTCTATCGAATAACAAAATTTCAATCTAGTAGTCTGGTGAATACGCTTTGAAAAATGTGAAAATTGGAATTTTTTTAAATATTCATCACTTTTTCTTCTTCACAGCGTGTTTTCAGTAACAAAAAAAAGTGAAGTATATTTGTAACCACTTGTCACATGAAGCTTTTTCGGCAATAAAAAATTTTATTTACATTTTTTTAATGAGTATCTCAAAAATAACGCATCGAAGATCAAAACATTGTACACACAATTTTTAAAGATTTTTATGGAGAATAAAATGAGACCAGTTTCAGGTCTCTACGATCAATATTGTTCGAGATATATTTTTTTATGAAAAAAAGTACCACTGTATTCAAACAATTGACAATAATTTAGACATTTTCTGATAGTACTCAAACCTTTTTTGAGTAAAAGATCAATTTTTTGCATTAAATAAATCATTAAATTTTTTTCAATTAAATAATTATTTTGAAAATATTTAGACCAAGGAAATCGTTACAAAATACAAGATGAGCTTTTTTTAAAAAATAAATGTAAAATAAATGTATTTTCAATATTATTTATTGATTCCATTTCAATTGATTAGAAAAAAAAAATATTCTTTTTCTTTACAATGATTCTTTATATTTATTGTCCAACTTTCTGCTATACTTTCACGTTTAAATAAGAAAAAACATTGAAGTACAATAATAATAATAATGCTGAAAAAAAAAATTGGTAACAGCTGCAGAGATATTGATAAAGTTGAATGAAAGTTGAAGTAGACAAAGACAACAAAAATGGCAACATTTTTAATAAAATTCTCTGAACAAAATTGACAGAAGATTGACATGTTTTATTCATATCACAAAATGTCGGTTTCAATTCAATTATTGTAGATAAAAAATTATAGAAAAAAAAGTGATTATTTTATTTATTTATTTTTTTATTTTAAAGCAAAATGAACATGGGAATATTTTTATCTAGTCTATTTATATCTACTCTATTATTTTATATTTTATCTCGGTTTAAAAACCGGAAATTCTTATTATCACTTGCAGCATAGTAAAAATATTAAATTAAGCTTAAAAAAAAATACCTGAACAAATTTTTGGCGATTAGAATTAAAAGAGGGTTGTTGAAAATAATTGTGTGTATTATGATGCTTTTATGTGTGTGGGAAAATGATGATGGCAGGAGAGGAATACACATCCGTCTAAAGTCCCTTTTCCCCTCTTATATTACCTCGAACCCTACGTAAACATATCCATTTCATTCCCCCGGAAAATCGAAATTTTCTCCCTCGAAGAAGGGCTGGATACCCCTAGGGTTTCCGCCTAAGGGTTGATAATTTTGATGACTCAAGTCACCAAAAACCCTGCCAGGTATTATTATGTGGTACATGACAAAGTACAGTAGATTTATACTAATTTCCGCGTTACTAACATTTGTTAGGTGTCAACTGTAACTCCCCCCACTGACGGAACTTCTTTATTTCTGCTAAACAACACGCAGAGAAATGTATAGTAAAAATTACCCTGAATTTTATGGTAATTTGGTAACACAGTAATGTCACGGTAAAAATTACTGTGCACATGGTCAAAATAATAATTTTTCGAGTAAAAATTACTATACAGTTCAGTAATTTTTACAATGTATATAGTAATTTTTACCCTCACACTACAATGTCACCAAATTGCCCTAAAATTCAGGATAATTTTTATTGTACATTTCTCAGCGTGAAGTAAAATTGGCCCTCGTAAATTTATTCAGATCTCTAAATAAAGTTATTTAAACATTAAAAAAATATTCTTGGAACAACTATGAAACATCTGTTACTAATGTAACTCATTTTATGTCATTTACAATAATATCATATTAATATTAACCTCAGTTTTCAACAATATTAATCCTTCCAGTAGAATCTATTTCAAATGACTTTTTCACTTAATCTATTTTTTAATCTTTTTTTTCTTCATTCGATTATCTTTAAAATAAAATTTGTTCAAAGTCAATATTTTCAGTGGTTCTCGAGATATCGAGAACGAAAAATAACCTGACATACGTACGTACGTACGTATACACGTACGGACACACATACATCCATTTTTAAACCTTCCAATAAACTTTCAAATGTTTTATAATGCAAAGATCTGACAAAAATACGGATTTCAAAATTTGAGCCCATTAAAAGAACTTATTAATTAGAAGTTGAAAAAAAATATAACGAATAACAAATTACTATACAATATGGAATATTAAATTTAATTTTTCAAATATATTTAATTTTCTGAGTAATTATTACCATAATATTTCAGTAATGTCTATCCGATGCTTCGTCTTACGAAACATGATCAACTTTGTCAATGTTCTGTTAGAGTAATTCCTATATAAAACAAATAGCTAGAGCCGAGCTGCGTAATGCTATCTCGCACTAGAATATACTAAAGAGAGGCTCGAAGATTCCTCAACAGTAAGAAGATTACCTGCATCTTCATTATCAGACAAAAATATTTGGCTCTGCATGCTCTAGCTTCTATAGGTATTATTCGAAAGCTTCAATCGAAAGCTCTCTCAGAGTCATAATTAACCATGATATGCATCGAATGATTGTGTCTACAATGATCTTGAAGCGAAGAATATTGAAGAAGAATTAATGAAGTTTAGCTTGCGATACATTGACAGAGCTCTGGATGTCATCCCAACCAATTAGTGTT